AAAGTAATTCTAGCTAGCTAGCAACATTTTTGGTCAAGTTTAGTGGTCATCCTAGCTAATCCATTATTCGTGAGTTTTGACTTCCTTGATATAAGTTGTATATATTTGTTTAACTAAGAGGTAAGATGTTATTGGGAAGGTGCATGCTTAATTAACGCCCAAGTACTTGCTTATATAATACTTTCAGTTTATGATGAGTATGCACAACATAATTACTATTAGGCTAAGCCTGAAACTCAATACTTCTTATTGTTTATCATGCAAGTAAGGGTATATAATATTTGTGAAAGAGGGTGGCGAAATAGTTCAGAATGTGCATTGGGATAAGAAAAAAAAAAGGTTATTCTTTGCGGCCTTATTTTGCACACATCATAAAACACTATAGGCTCATTTGGTTTATGTGTTTAAATTAGTGATTCTTGATTCTAACGTTTAAAATTTAAAATTTTTATAAGAACAAAACATTGTAGCAGAATTAAAATTATAAATTTAAACATATAAAACAAACGAATTGTATATTTTATATAGAGAACAGACAATAACGTTATCATGGTAATTAGGAAAACGAATAATGATAATTAATCAAGTACGTCCCATGTTACCAGAAAGTCAGGTGCTTGTTGACGAGGCCAAATCAAATTAAAGACAAAACGATCATAAATTATCATGGTATTGAGCATGACGAATCAAAAATTAAATCTGTCGAGATGTTTGTTTAAAAAAACAAAAAACAAAAAACAAAGAGAAAATTGTCGATGGTGTTCCCATATTCTATTACCTTATCACCACACGCATATTATAGGCATCGGAACCTCTCGTGCACGTGCCACGCACACAAGAAGCACATATACAACACAAGACAAACTAAATAATCCCAAAATTTTTATCCAGCAAAAAAATTAAATAATAACCAAAATTTGTCCTCTCAAAAGTAATCCAATATTTGTGGAGGAAGGAAGCTATATGCTACGTACCATCGGCACTTATTTGTTATTTTTTTAATAGAATGTATAAAGGAAGATATATATATATATATATATTGGAGAGATTGTAATATTTTTTGAAAGATGAAAAGTCAAATGTTCAAAAATAGAGAAGTAAGCCAATAGGTTTATAAGAAAACATGTTAGGTGTCATATTACTTAATTATGACGCGCGTGCGAGCAAGGCGCAATAGATATATTTTTGTTTTCTTTACTTACGTACAGTTTTCCACCCCTGGTTTGAACAATTTGGATCCAATTTGGATCCAATTTGGATGGACATTAACGATGAGCTGACTGGTCGTACACATGTACGTATAAAATTATGTAGGCATATCAGCGCCCAGGCGTTAGACAAAAAATATAGATTAGGATCTATGCTTATCTAATATTACCTATTACATACGATACTAAGTAATGCATATAATTTATAACTTTTTTTATATCCATTAAGCTTTATTTTTAAAGGAGTTTCTCCACTAGTCTGTCGTATTAATAGTCATATTTTTAATTTAATCAAAATTACATTAAATTAAAAAAATATGCAGAATAGACAGATTTTAATACATGATACAAATATATATTGAGTTACACAAACTAGCACGGCTTAAATGGCTATGGGCGGAGGTAGGCGAGTTGTTGACCTATCTCTCATCAGTAATCAAGTCGAATCAAATTTGCAATCTTCCCCAAACCACCAACCTAGCTAGAGATTCGATCATATCCCATTTTTTTCAGCCCTTTTTCGTATTGTTTCAATAATATCATAATATCATGTCATTTTAATTAAAATATTTAACTAACATGAATTTTTTTTATTAACGTGGTATATGATATTTTATTTAATTTACAAGGTATTTAATTAACTGGACGTGATGTGATATGTTATGAATGGAGGAATATAAAGGAGACAAGAACAAGAAAATACAGGTCGAATCCATTAGACCAAACTGTCTGACAACTTAATATGGTTTTTTTTTTTTTGGCCATTAGACCAATCGGTCTTGGGCAAATTAATAAGCCTTTTGACTTATCGTAGAATAGCAACAAAGAAATCTAGAATATGTTAAAAAAAAAACCCCATTAATTTATTTTGTTCTTCTTGATTTATACTTGCTGATAAATAACTTTGCCAGTTGTCAAGATTGTCGGTCATTAATTTTCTTCTCATTCAGCTAGACTTCAATCGCCATCTTTTCAATTCTTCTCTACAATCAAGTGCTTTACTTGCTTTTCAAGATACAGAAAACAACTAACTGATCAGGTCGGCATCGTATAATATAATTTAAAATTTCTAGAAAAATCGCTTTTTGAACTAAACTTTCTAGAATAAACTTATACGATAACACGAGAGCAGGCCCCTAACGGTAATAGAGATGCAGCAGATGCTGATTCTGGTAGTTGAACTTTTTAATTATAAATTAATTATTGTATTGCAGCCGACTATTTTATTATCCTAATTACTTGGGACCCCACGTTTTCAATTTGTAGTTTTGCTGATTTGGGTTTCTATATATAGACATTCCAATATATCATTTTAACTCTCTACCTTGGAGTTATATATTATTTAGCTAGTGAACTGATATATATCAAGATCGATCGATTGCTGCTTAATATTTAAGCCCCTATATTAGTAGTATATCTGGGCAGAAAGCTTCTGGTAGTAGATCACCATGGCCAGTGTCCAAGAAAGGTCTGACACCATGCTTCTGAACTTCAAATTAACAAATTGTTTTTCTGTTTTGGTTTTTTATTTGTTTTTTTGGTTTTTGTTTTATCTTTTTGTTCATGATTTAATTCAAAACTAGACTCAATTAAATGTAAAGTGAAAAAAAAAGTTCAAAAAGTTAGATATTTCTTTCTATGGCATTAATGTACATATGTGTGTGTGAGAGAGAGAGAGAGAGAGAGCTCATGTAGATGCAAACTGCAGTACAAGGGGTATATGATATTTTTACTAGAAATTAATATATATATATATATATATGTTGTAAAACGGTGTATTAATTTAATTTTCTTTGCTTTTTCTTAATTTATAATTTTGTTTTGATACGTATAGTACTAGTGCAACTCGTATTATTGAGCAGCGACAACAACTTGAATATTCCTCCAAAGACTTCCAGACAGCCTTCAGCTTCATCATCGGACTACTTCTCGCACTTGTAGGAGTGAAGTATCAAGGCTCAGGAACAACCCTATTCAGAGAAAACAGACTAATCGTGTCTCTTTTCATCATGACCGTATGCCTTTACGCCATGGCGTTGGTGAAGATGACTCTTACAGCAAGATCGCCTGATCAATATCATGATGATGATCAGACCTCTTCAAATCACTCTCTCGCACCGCCGTCAGATGATAATCAAACGCCTGTTCTTCTCGTCGCCGGAACTACTGCCTCGGAGCTGCTTCTCTACGTTCTCCTCACTCCTCTTGGTTGGTTCTTGGTCAACATTCTTGCATTAGTTTTTCTCGGAGTGCAACATTATCGCCAACGAAGAAACTTGTTCGCCATTTTTAAGAGGTCTAAATCTTCGACTGATGATCAAACAACTGATCATGGGAGTGCTACTAACGATATCCAGTTGTCCAACGTAGTATAATGATCATTAATTATTACTAAAATACTGGTCTTTCGATGTATATAAACGGAAAAAAAAAAAAGTGAAAAGGGTATATAAATTAGCTCCTTTTTGTTGAGAAAGGTGTCTTATTTTACATATAAATCCATCATTATTTTATCTGCATGATCAATGAAATAAAGTACGTTAGTGACGTGTTTCTACTATTTTTTTTTCATTGAATAATCATTATAGTGACGTGTGAATTATAAACCATATGATATATGACTTCTTATCTGTAACAATTTTGTTGACTATAATTATAAAAAAAAAAAAAAAAAACAATTTTGCTGACTATTGGTATTTTGGCCGAATATATCAGTCGTTTTCTTTTCTGGTTATCTTTTCGAAAACATATATGAATTACTTTTCCGTTTATCTAATCGTCTATTTGCACAGTCCAAAGGCGCAATAAATAAACAATTAGTAATTCTATTGCACCAAAAAGTTTGGAGTCCTAGCCTGCTATGCTTTTTTGGGACCCGACATTTTTAGGCTCTATTTTTTTTAACTTGTTTGATATATATATATATATATATATATATATATATATATATTTTTTCACACAGAAGTTTATAATATATAGGACCCAAAAAATAATGAGCTTGTTGCAATACATCCTCGACTATACTATACACGTATCAGCCTTTCAATAGCTCCTGATCATAGTGGTCATAACACATATGATTTCTTTAATTTTCAATTAACAAAACAAGAAAATATTTCCATTCAAGTAATGTATTTGGGATATTTGCAATCAATAGAATATCCGGCTATAACGTTTTTTAGGCTCGGTAAGTGCCTGCCGAAGTCAGATTTTACTAATATTTCTCTTTTCTCCACCTTTTTTTGTTTATTTAATTATCTCTTTGTTTTTTTTCCAGAGTTAATTCAATATCGACAAAAAGTCGTCTTTATATATATATATATATATATGAAAACTTGGATTTCATCAAATAATAGAACAGCAATATATATTAGCCATTAGAGCATCAGAAATTCGTAATTATAAATTAAGGGGGATTTCTACGGTACAGATAATCATGACTTATACGGTTCCGAGCAAAGTACGTAATTAATTAAGGAGATTATTACAAATAATAAAAAAACAACCATGGTTGAACAAACTGACTGAACTCAGAAATCATTATATATATAGAAACGCCGATTTAGCAAATTCTATCAATTATTACAGACCACTCAAGCAATCTTATGAACTTCGCTGTTGCCTAACCAAAAAAAAAAAAAAAAAGTATTAATATCTGCTTGCATATACGTAAATCATGAAACTTTATATGAAAGTTTACTTACGCACGTGCCAATATTACTCTATAGCTAGCCTAGTACAATTTGGGTCGTGTAACATTTGATCATATATATGTATATATAGAGAGAGAGATTAGACGATAGGTATGGAAGGGTTGAGCTGGATCAACTGAACAAGATCATGATGTTGAGAGTCCGGCAAGTTGAGAGGCGGCAGAGAAAACTGACTGTAAGTTGAGCTTCCTCTCCTAATCTCTTGCATTGTCATCAAAGCCGCGACTGTGTTTCTGAATATTCCTTGACGGCCCAAATTTACAGCCTCGCTTACTAATTCTCTTTGCTTCTCTTCTACTTTGGCTGGGAAAAACGCGTCAATAAGACTTTCGCACTCCTTGACCAGCTTTGAAACGATATCAGTAGTGAAAAAGGGTTGTTCCAGAACTTTCTGGATGAACAGCAAGCGTAATACTCCACCTGTTCGCTTATCATATTTCTTCAATATTTTCGCCAGCCCTACAAAATTATACCCCAAGAAAGGGAAAATATATGTAATTTATTCGAACATCAACCAATTAAAATTGAGTTTTTGTTAATCACAAATTATTGAACGGAAAAACAAAACTAAGTAAAATTTGTGTCGCTGAGGAAATTAAGGACCTGTGTAATTGATATTGCTGTAATTCTCTAAAAGCACCATTTCTCCGTGGAAATCAACAATATCTTTTCTGATTTTCCCCATTTCCTCTTTATAAATTGTCTCCGAATTAGGCTGAGTTCCACTTGGCCCCCACATATCAATCACTAACTGGATTCGATGCTGTAACTCCTGCATATATATTATATTATATATACACGCATATTATATGACTTTAGTGGGTATTTTTCGGAACTAAGATACATTTAAGCGATTTATTTTAGCTTTGTATTAAATTTTATGCATTTGTACTTGTGTGTGTGGCAATATTAAATATGAAACGTTGAATTATTATAAGATTTGGTTACGCAAACAAAACAAATATATTCGACACTACAATGTATTGAGCTGAAGCTTGTGTTTCGAAGCCACCAAACTTCAGAATATAATATTTATTTTATGAGGAGCATATATAAATTTATAAATTAATGTGTAGCTAACCATCTTCCAATTAACCAGGCTTATTCCAAAAGCATATTCAGAAAGATATGCCTGCTTTTTGGTGTTTAGTATGTGTTAGCTCCATAAAATAATAGTATGATAACCCATTTGCCTTTGTTATTAGAAAGTAATCTTTCCTTTACGTTTTCTCCATATATATATAAATAAAGTTAATGTATATGCCATTTTTCTTTCTATCTTTCCTAACTAATCCTTCTACTAACAGCAATATAAAAGCAGCCTGGACGCTTTGATATATATATATATATATTCATTCACCCAGAAGTTTATAATATATAGGACCCAAAAAATAATGAGCTTGTTGCAATACATCCTCGACTATACTATACACGTATCAGCCTTTCAATAGCTCCTGATCATAGTGGTCATAACACATATGATTTCTTTAATTTTCAATTAACAAAACAAGAAAATATTTCCATTCAAGTAATGTATTTGGGATATTTGCAATCAATAGAATATCCGGCTATAACGTTTTTTAGGCTCGGTAAGTGCCTGCCGAAGTCAGATTTTACTAATATTTCTCTTTTCTCCACCTTTTTTTGTTTATTTAATTATCTCTTTGTTTTTTTTCCAGAGTTAATTCAATATCGACAAAAAGTCGTCTTTATATATATATATATATATATGAAAACTTGGATTTCATCAAATAATAGAACAGCAATATATATTAGCCATTAGAGCATCAGAAATTCGTAATTATAAATTAAGGGGGATTTCTACGGTACAGATAATCATGACTTATACGGTTCCGAGCAAAGTACGTAATTAATTAAGGAGATTATTACAAATAATAAAAAAACAACCATGGTTGAACAAACTGACTGAACTCAGAAATCATTATATATATAGAAACGCCGATTTAGCAAATTCTATCAATTATTACAGACCACTCAAGCAATCTTATGAACTTCGCTGTTGCCTAACCAAAAAAAAAAAAAAAAAGTATTAATATCTGCTTGCATATACGTAAATCATGAAACTTTATATGAAAGTTTACTTACGCACGTGCCAATATTACTCTATAGCTAGCCTAGTACAATTTGGGTCGTGTAACATTTGATCATATAATATATGTATATATAGAGAGAGAGATTAGACGATAGGTATGGAAGAGTTGAGCTGGATCAACTGAACAAGATCATGATGTTGAGAGTCCGGCAAGTTATGTATATATAGAGAGAGAGATTAGACGATAGGTATGGAAGGGTTGAGCTGGATCAACTGAACAAGATCATGATGTTGAGAGTCCGGCAAGTTGAGAGGCGGCAGAGAAAACTGACTGTAAGTTGAGCTTCCTCTCCTAATCTCTTGCATTGTCATCAAAGCCGCGACTGTGTTTCTGAATATTCCTTGACGGCCCAAATTTACAGCCTCGCTTACTAATTCTCTTTGCTTCTCTTCTACTTTGGCTGGGAAAAACGCGTCAATAAGACTTTCGCACTCCTTGACCAGCTTTGAAACGATATCAGTAGTGAAAAAGGGTTGTTCCAGAACTTTCTGGATGAACAGCAAGCGTAATACTCCACCTGTTCGCTTATCATATTTCTTCAATATTTTCGCCAGCCCTACAAAATTATACCCCAAGAAAGGGAAAATATATGTAATTTATTCGAACATCAACCAATTAAAATTGAGTTTTTGTTAATCACAAATTATTGAACGGAAAAACAAAACTAAGTAAAATTTGTGTCGCTGAGGAAATTAAGGACCTGTGTAATTGATATTGCTGTAATTCTCTAAAAGCACCATTTCTCCGTGGAAATCAACAATATCTTTTCTGATTTTCCCCATTTCCTCTTTATAAATTGTCTCCGAATTAGGCTGAGTTCCACTTGGCCCCCACATATCAATCACTAACTGGATTCGATGCTGTAACTCCTGCATATATATTATATTATATATACACGCATATTATATGACTTTAGTGGGTATTTTTCGGAACTAAGATACATTTAAGCGATTTATTTTAGCTTTGTATTAAATTTTATGCATTTGTACTTGTGTGTGTGGCAATATTAAATATGAAACGTTGAATTATTATAAGATTTGGTTACGCAAACAAAACAAATATATTCGACACTACAATGTATTGAGCTGAAGCTTGTGTTTCGAAGCCACCAAACTTCAGAATATAATATTTATTTTATGAGGAGCATATATAAATTTATAAATTAATGTGTAGCTAACCATCTTCCAATTAACCAGGCTTATTCCAAAAGCATATTCAGAAAGATATGCCTGCTTTTTGGTGTTTAGTATGTGTTAGCTCCATAAAATAATAGTATGATGGCCCCATTTGCCTTTGTTATTAGAAAGTAATCTTTCCTTTACGTTTTCTCCAAACCCATTTGCCTTTGTTATTAGAAAGTAATCTTTCCTTTACGTTTTCTCCATATATATATAAATAAAGTTAATGTATATGCCATTTTTCTTTCTATCTTTCCTAACTAATCCTTCTACTAACAGCAATATAAAAGCAGCCTGGACGCTTTGTTATAAGTATATATTTATACACATATACACACACACATATATATATATATGTACATACAATACATATATATATATATACACCCATAATTTCTTAAAAAATAAAAGTAAAACATCAATGATAGTTCTTAGATCGCATTGTTAAACAGCTCCGTGGGGTGTTTGCGGAGTGGCTCGCGCATTTTGTAGTTTTTACTGTATAGATTTCGTATCTTCAAGTTAATTTTGGGGGATTGGGCATAAGCTAAAAAAGATATAAGGGCGCGTTTGAAACTTGTTTTAAAATGATTTTATTTTTTGTATGAAAATGAAAATGAAAACGTTTTCAATCTCAGACAAAAATCATTTTTTAAAATGTGTTTAGTAGTTTTATCAAGAGATTATTTTCAGTGTAAAAAAACCTATTAATGTCTTTCTTTCTCTCTCTCTCTACTTGAGAGAGGAGAAAACGAAAACAAAAAATGAAAAGTTTTCAGTGTAAAAAAACCTATTAATGTCTTTCTTTCTCTCTCTCTCTCTACTTGAGAGAGGAGAAAACGAAAACAAAAAATGAAAAACAACTAAAAGTCATTTTTTATTTCTCTCTCATTTTACACTAAACCAAAAAATCATTTTCATTTCCGTTTTTTGTCTTTATTGCGCCAAACGCCGTTTTAGAAACGTTTTCATTTTTTCTTTCTCAAAAAACGTAAAAAACAAAAATGGGATCAATTTCAAACACGGCCAAAAACTTCTTATGTGTAGCCAAATATGATATTTTCAACCTTTTTCGCCAAAACATGGGAAAATGAAATGGAAAGGCTGATAACTTTAGTTAATGCGCCATACCAACAAAAAAAAAGGAAAAAAAAAAACATTATTTTTTTCGTAATAAGCCTCACGATCATGCAAGCAGCAAAAAACAATATTATTGATGGTACATGTAAAAATTGGTTTCCAAAATCTTGCTTATTAAAAAAAAATGGATTTCAAGGGGAAAGGGAACTCTTGATTGTCGATGACACCGTATTACTATGGAAATGATTCTTTTTCCAAACTATCATAAAACAAGTAATAACTATTAACTAATCTGTTTAACATTTGTCCATGTATAAAATTTAGTGGTAATATTACCACGAGGATTATTTATTCTACAACAGGTCATTCTTTGGGTAATACCAATATTTTGAGATATAACGTAGGTGTTTAATGGAATATTCAACACTGGTCGCAACATCTATAATTAGTTAGTTCTAAAATTTTGGTTTTATCAATATTTTAGTCCAAATTATTTCTATGTCACAAAGAAATAACAAAGATTTGTCACTATTTTAATATATATTTCGGAAAAATATTTATAAGCGTTAACTAATTCTAGTGCGCCCAGACATCAAAATGTGCCACTTTCTTTACTCTAAATTTTTTTCTGGGTCAACTCAGTTGACTTGTCCAGCCAAGAACTCGAAGACCATAATTATAGTTCTTTTGCATTTTAGACTAGATGATAAAAAAAAGAACTATCTGTTACGACTTCATACATTTAGCGTTAATTTCACACCTCTTAATAATAAAGTTAAATTTCTCACCCCGAAGCTATTTAGAAAAATACATTAATCCAGTTATCACAAAAAATATTTGAAAAAAGGGTTGTAAAATCTGACTATTGAACAAGAAAATGAAGTCCACGTAGCCTGAATTTGATGCAGCTCCACCAAAATTATCAGTATACCTGATCTCACTAGATCATCAGCACTACTTATAATAAAAATTTGAGACAAATTAAAACAAGTACCTTATGCCGGATAATGAAATCCTCCTCTTGTTCCATGAAGAAAGCATTGAACTTTTCAATCTCATTGTTCAACAAATACACAAACTCAGCCTCTGCAGCTTTCCCATATTCCACGGATCCATTCAACAATGTTGGAGATGAAGAAATTAGCCTCACCAGCTTCTTCAACTCCTTGTACGACAAGAACTTGTCTCTCCAATCCGGCAACGTTTCTTCGATTTGTTGCTTCAATCTCTTCCCAAACTTCATTTGGTAATATTTTTTTGTTTCTTTATGATCAAAAAGCTTGAGATGGGTTTTGTGAAGGTTTTAATGTTAAAGAGGAAGGCTTATTAATGGCAAAAAAAGAAAGAAAAAAAAAAGAAAAAGAAGAAAATTGTTGGAATATTAGAAGGCATATGCTTGGCGTGGTGAAGTGGCAGTTAGGAAAGGTATAAAGGAGTCGTTGAAGTAAGAGAATGCTTAAGCATATTCGGTTACTATGTAGTATATAGTCATAGTGATGACCCACAAAATTAATTGACTATATGCTTCATTTGTTTAATTATTATTGGCTAGGTGGACTAGGGAGTTACCGGTTACGTTTCATGAAGGACGCATCTGATTGGTGCTAAACAAATTTTGAAGTGGGTCCCGGCAAGATTTATTGTGTTTGTGATGTTTGGGGTGGACTACGGGCTGTGACGATAGAATTGCAGTTGGGAGAAATGGACTTCGGACAAAGGATGATTCCCAGGAATCTCCGGAGAATCTAACCATGTGAAAATGGAAAAGGAAATCAATAAAAAAAAAAAAAAAGAAGGATAAAATAACAAGAATCCTACCTTTAATATTATTGTATTTAAATCTTCTTGTAAGTTTCTCAAATTCTCTCCTTCAGTTTCCATTGTAATAGCTAGCTCATCGAAATAAAAAAAGAGAAAACTGATGTTGAGATGATGGGTGAAATGAACATGGCTACTCATGAGAGTGGGAGATTGAGAAGTAGTTTGGATGTTTTAGACTAGCAACGCAAGAAAGACATGGATACTCACTGCTCGCCTGCTAGATATATTTGTGAACCTTCGTGAGAAATTGAAGGACGAGTTTCTTGGGGCAGTTAGGGAAATAGAATGAAGTGAATTTCGACGTTGAGTATAGACGGGGAAGAGTTTCGTATTAACTCCATCTTCGTTTGAGATGGCGATGGGAATCAAAGATGGAGGGGAGGGTTTTGAACAAGCTGTGGGATCTCAAGATGATATAAAGAGAAGGAAAGATTCCTAATTTACAGCTTGCAGAGTTGGAGCAGAGCTTGATTAACTCGGAGTCAGTGAATGATCTATTTGTCTATAGGTTTCTTTTGTTTACCATGGTAGGATTCTTGATGCCTACGACGTAGGGGTGACACTTCGTGTCACATGTTGTGTTCATGTCGTATTTTAATTGTTTTTTTTTTAAATTTACAGTCAATCCGAACACGACTCGTGACACGAAATTTTTTAAAAATCGCAACATGAACACGACACGACCACTTTACGGGTTGACACGACACGAGATTTTGAGTATAACTATCATGATATCACAAGTTCATAATAAAATAAAAAATATGTAATGAAAAATATATGTATATTTTAGTTTTTTTACGAGTTTCGTGTCTGTTTAGGTTAGGCGGGTCCAACCAGAAATTGACCCGTGTTTTTCGTGTCAATTTTAAGTCGACCCAATTCTGATTTGAACATCTTTTTTCTCAACCCTAACCCGCAAAATTTGTGTCATTTTCGAGTTGTGTTGTCGTGTCGTGACCCATATTACCGACCCTGCTGCAATGTGTCTTGTTGTTGGTGCAATAATATTGAGATACATAAATGGTTTGAAAAGTGTGAGGAAAAAGAACTAGGCAACTAAATCGTTTACGTTCTTTTTCATTATATCGACCACAGCAGCCAACCAGTGACACTCTTCCTTGATAAACACTGGAATCACAATCTCTTTTTGTGCAGGCCAGTTGTTACTTGCCTAGAAATTACAGCAAATAAACTCAACAAGCAATTATAAGTTAAGAGGTTCATACCTCAATTATATGTCCGTGCTTTCAATGAATTCTTATAGATTCGTATTCTGCACAAGTAAAACGATTTTCCATAATCTCTCTACTCAAATATTATGTATAAATTATTTTGTAAAAATTTAACCTTTTATAACAAGTGGACCAATTATAAGTTCGGATCATAATAAAGTACCGAAAGGGAAGATGGGAGGAACCAGCAAAATGCTGCTTCTTTTGGATTTGATAATGTATACCCATAGCATCATTCAACGAAAGGGCATAACCATCAATTACCTACAAAAGAAACTATAATTCAAAGCTATCAAAGCTTACTCACCTCGTAGGATACAGGACATTTTGGCATTAAAGACAGAAGCACACTTTGGAGTTCGGTCTATTTCTCTTTTCATGAACTCCGCTAATTCCTCACTGCAATATAACATCAATGTGATTGTTGAGTGTCTTCTTGAAGGCAACAAGTATAAACTAAAACAAAACTATGATATCTGGCTTTGGGAACCCCTCTCAGATTCATCATCATCCTTTGGACTTGTGTGGTTGCTCATGTTTTTGTTAGTTTACCAATCTATCCTAAAAGCTTAAGCTGTTAGGTGGTGGGCCAATAATAATTTTATACTTTAACACTCTCCATCACGTGTGGGCTGGACAATGGACAATCGTATGGATAAATTAATTGAAAAGCCCAACACGTGAATATTTAAGCCCGAGATATATTAAAAATCCAACAGGTGATGATAATTTAAATGGGGATAAAGAGTACAATTACGGGAGTTTGAACTCAGGACCTCCCGCTCTGATACCAGTTAGTTTACCAATCCATCCCAAAAGCTTAAGTTGTTAGGAGATAGGCCAACAATAATTTTATACTTTAACAGTTTCCACCACCACCACCGCCACCTTCCTGTTGTACACCACCTTGATCACTCTTCAGTGTTTCCACAAAATCCATCATCAGTTGAGAAATTTCATTCTTAACAATATCCTTAATAAATTGTTGCGGCCCAAATGTAAACTGCTTAGAGTTTGAACTCAGGACCTCCCGCTCTGATACCACGTTAGTTTACCAATCCATCCCAAAAGCTTACAATTTCCACCACCACCACTGCCACCTTCCTGTTGTACACCACCTTGATCACTCTTCAATGCTTCCACAAAATCCATCATCAGTTTAGAAATTTCCTTCTTAACAATATCCTTAATAAATTGTTGCGGCCCAAATGTAAACTGCTTCAGTTCTTCAATCTCAGAGGTACATTTTTTTAATCTCTGTCATCATATGCATCATATAATTGCGCGTGGATTGGCATTTATTACACTCATCCTCCATTGGAATCTGTTAGCCAAAGCAAAATATGTATATACATATGTATATATATTAGAACCATATTATGTTGCATAACAGAACACTTTTTTTTTTTTT